GAAAATCAGGGAATATCAGGGAATTCCTTTTTGGAGCTGGAAAATCAGGGAACCTCAGTGAATTTCATTTTAAGTTTGGGAAATATTTCTTTATTACAGAAACTTATTAATAAGTATGGCTGACTTCGCTAGTTTTAAATAACTTAATTACTGATTGTAGTTTAAGGATGGTATTTAATTCAAAATTTTAAGTAAAGTTGCGAACTTGTGGTTGTTCAATGTTTGATGTCCATTTTTGCAAGTTTAGCAAAAGTTACTCAAATAAGAGGAATTCGATGATTTTGAGCCTATTATAAATTCAGCTCCCACTGGTTCTTGTCACATTCCAGAATTGAACCCAAATAAAAATCCATTTTCGTAGACACGCTAGACGTTGTTAGTTTTTGCAAAATTCAAGCTGCTCATACGTCTCTTAATAGATGCTATAACTAATTACGTGTGACAAAATTAGTAGATTGGTGCGTCAGTTGAATTAAACTCAGTTAATCAATTGACTTGCCCCTAAACCCAGTTTTAAGAGAAGATGATGATTTTTTTTCTGAATGCTTCTAGGTCTTGTTCCATATTGTGTTTTTAACAGCTTGATTAGCTCAGAGAACTAACTAAATGAGAATTCAGAATAATGATCTTGCTTGGGAGGATTTTTTTATTGCTTGGTGCAACACTTTTATTATTGAAGCATTGCTTTGACAGCATAGTCATAGGCGTAGCCAGAGGGATGCAGGGGGAGGGGGTAACAGCCTCCCTAAACTCAGCAACAGAAAGGCTTTCGGGGAAATGGTGTTCGGTGAAATGGCATTTGGCCAAACTTTCCATAGTACATTTTTTTTCGCCCCTCCCTAGCTCGAAACCAGGCTACGCCCTTGCGTAGTATTTTTGGTCTTCATTGTGAGCCTGGTTAACTCGTCAAATTAGCTTATCAGGAAAGTTTCAGTATTGTTATGTTGCTGCTATTGCAATTTAAATGGAATTAGCTTGCAGAATGTCAAGCGCTTTTTTAACGATTTAACACCGGAGGAATCCATCCGCGAATTAGCTTTTGGTTAAGCGTATTATCCGGAATAGTTTTCTTGCAGAGCTGGGTCTCATGGGATTAAAAACAAGTGTTTCATATGTGAAATTCAGAGTGACCAGTGTACCGGAAAAACCGAGAAAAAGCTGGGAATTTGAAGTCACCGGGGAAACCCCGTGAATTTAGATGACAAATCTGGAAAAATATACGTCGTCCTCTCTTCGAAATAAATAAAATTTCGAGACCCTTGGACTGCACTAGATTTTCAAGATAACTACGGTCACTTTGAAGAAATATGAAGAGAATTTTAGAATTTTTCTAAAACAAATTTGAGCAGATTTTAAAATAACTTCTAGAGATAACACCAAGGTATTTCAGAGAATATTTTCTGAAAGCTTCAGTAAAACCTCTAAGAGAGTTTTTACTAGAACTTTCAAGAGTGAAAAGGATTACAGGATTCTTAAAAATACTAAGGGACGCGAATTTTGAGGGTACAATTCAAAAATAATTCTGCGAAGATTTATAAGGAAAGTCCGAGTATAATTCCAAGCGCATTTCGAATGGAATGTTTAGAGAATGTTAATGATAATTCCATGCAATTTCCAGAAGAATTTATAGGAGACCTACAAAATAATTCTGAGCAAAATTTTAAGACAATTCTCGGCTGGAGAATTACCCCTGGTGTTAGCAGGGAAGGGTGATTACAAGTTTTGTTCACAAAAGCTAGTAGGCCCTTTTCAATTGTCGGTCGAGAATCTGAGGTGCATTGTATGGAAATTCTACGGAGAGTTTCATGCAAATTAAAAAAAAAATGAAGCACCAGTGAATTCTTAGTGTTCTACGGAGAATGTCTAGAAACAATTTCAAGTTTAATTTAGAAGAATTCTGGAAAGATCTCTGTGACAGGTAATTAATCTAAAGGAAAAGCTTGAGAACAATAAATATAACCCTGTAAAGCTTCGAGAGAAATTTTCATACAAAAATTTCGAAGACTTCAAACCTGTCGCAGAACCAAATTCAAGATCCAGCAAAGGTGCTGCTGTTTTAATTTACCCATTTAATCTTCGGCTTAATCGCATTCAGTTTTATGCTTAATTAAAATACCTAAACGGCGAACATTTACAAAATTCCGAAACAATTCTAATCGAGATTTGCTGGTCATCATGAATATGGAGGGGTATAATGCGGATCCTTTCCGCTTTTGGCAACACGAGATTTCTCCCTTTTTTTGCATTTTATAGAATGTATCGAACGCTTTATTTAATTTGAATTTGTACTGGACCACTCCTCATGGGTTAGAGGTCCGTGTGGTATTTCATAAAAAAAACTGCCCATAAAGCACTGATGGGGTTGCATTGCCAAAAACGGGTAGGCACTATACCTGTTTTTTTTTTTTTTAAATTGCTGGAAAATCAGGGAATATCAGGGAATTTTGTTTTCTTCGTTTAGTCGACATCCTGATTACGTATATGGGATTGTGTCATAACTGGCTCACTTACCCTAGTTGGACTAAAACTAAGCTTATCTAAAGTATTGAATTAATGGTTCAACAGGTGATGCCGATGATAAAGTGTGTCCCACATCAAATTACATCACGGCTTAAAACGCTATAGAAAATTACCTAGTAGACCGATCCTTTTCAAACTGTCAGACAAAAAAAATATAACCCATAAGTAAGATTTTGGCATATTTATTTCATTCAACTTCAAAACTATAACCGTATGCTCGCACCTTACGCTTAATTCCACTCATTAAGATACGCTTAATTCCACTCATTAAGATCTGGCAGCAGCTTCTTCTGTACGGAATTCCACTTTTTCTTCATGTCTTTCTCAGATTTGACCTTCTTGGGATGCTTGTGTATTGCTTCATAATAGTCCAGTATATTTCGATGGGTCTTAGTTCCGGTGCGTTTGGGGGGTTCATGTCGTTGGGTACGAAAGTGACCACGTTGGCTTCGTACCACTCTAGGACAACATTTTAATAGTGGCACGAAGCTAGATGCGGCCAGAAGATCGTAGGGCCCTCGTGTTGCTTCAACAAAGGAAGCAGACGCTTCTGTAGACACTCCTTAAGGTAGATCTCCCCGTTTACAGTCCCGGTAGTCACGAACGGCGCACTCCGTTTGCCACATGAGCACTTGCCATATTATGTATTTCTTGGCAAACTTTGAAAGTTTCTGCTACCTTACTTCCTTTGGAACATCAAACTTATGCTGGGCGGTGAAGAACAGTAGCCCCGGAAGCTGCCGGAAGTCCACCTTGACGTAAGTTTCATCATCCATGATGAGACAATGAGGCTTCGTCAGCATCTGGGTGTATAGTTTCCGTCCCTCCCGGTCCTTGGCTCTCTGAACGGAAGATTTGGACAGATTCAACTTTTTGGCCACATCCCTGACCGAAGCATTGGGATTCCGCTTAAACGCTTTCACGACACTCTTGTGATCCTGATCACTAGTAGAACATCCATTCTGACCGCATTTGTCATATTCTCCTCCGAGAATATTCAAAAAATTTCGCAACGCCGATTATCTAAGCATGGAAATTCATTCCATTAGGTAGATTGATGTCAATTTTTCTGGCTCTGATGCTTGAGTGGTCAGCGTCAATCTGACGCTAACATCATTTACTCTCACCGTCTGTCGTCGTCATAAATAAATAACTATATCTTTTGAGAATAGTCTCATCACCTACCGCTAATTTACGAATCAGCGTGTATAGATTCACCGATCTAGTCGGTCTATCCGAGTATCATCATCATATTCTTCAAACAGCAGTGATGACGAGAATGAATCGAGCATTTGGTTGACGATTTTTGTCTGCTGGTTCTGCGTGTATGTGTGTGTGTTTGTGGATATGGGTGTATACTTTCGTCACGCACGAGGAGTCATGTGTCTTGCCCGCGTGGGAGGAATAAAATCGCGTCTTTGAAACATTTGAGCTGCTGCTGAGACTAGCTTTGACGACCATCGGGATCGGGATGTTGTTTTACCGGCTGTTTTACATCGAGTGATATATGACACACTGACCGAGTGCGGCGTGGACGGCGTTTAGTTTAGCGACAAATACACGAGACACCGATCGGAAGTGCGCGTGATGACGAACAACCGGACCGATCAGGGGCTAATTAGCATCGATACAGGTGGTGTGAAAAAGTGGTGTAATTAATAGTGTTTAGCAGCTAGTTTTCCAGCCCGCTCACCTAGAAAACATACGGAAACTTCACTTCGGATAAGGTAATCGTGAAATCTCTCATGTTGTCGCTTGTGGTCTTTTTGATAGATAAAACTGTACCTAATTTTTAACCATCATGCTTTGAAATATTTGTAGCATCCTACATTTTGGAATAAGGCTCTAACTTCTTTTTCTTTGGTGCTGAATAAAAATCCCATTGATATCCACACATTTACCAACTAATAGCTGAAAAAGCTGCTAAGTTCAAACTTCACATTATTCTTGGAAAAAAATTTCTGCCATATAATGCACCTTTTGCACTTCTGCGCAGAAAATAATTTGACCATTTTGAAAGTAATATTGCACTACGTATCGAAATATTCGATCGATATCGATTATTATTAGTGCAGAAGTCTATTTGTTGCAAAATGCGCAATACTTCTATCAACAAACCACTTGAATTGTGATAATCTTTGACATACATATTTCTTCCGTTATGAATTTAAATACTTACGGTATCGTTTGATAAAAGTTAAAAAAAAAAACAATCGGCGACTCCTTTGACCAAAAGTGCGTCAACTGACTCTCATATCCAAGTACGTAAACCAAACAACACCGTTAACGTTGATAACATCCGTTGCGAACACGTGTGCCTGAATATCGATGGCCTTTCCCGTCAAGCGGTGAGTGCGACAACATGAGAGAAATTCGTGAAAAGAAAGACCGCGGATTACCTACCCAACTGAGGTCTGATTTATTCATCATAATTGGCAGCGCAATCCAAACAAATCTCTTATTTTTATTTTCCCCTGCAGCAGCGAACAACAGCACCAGCAACGCGAAGCACGTCAACCCGCGATTTCCCACCGCCGTAAACTTCCATGGTGCTTCCCAACATTCGATGCTTTATCCATCCCCAGCTTGCAGAGCAAAAGATCCAATAACGCATACACACCCCGTTTGCTCGGAAAACATGCCGTTTTAATACTTGGTGGTGTGTTGGTGTGTACGAGCTCGCCGCAGTCAGTGCAGTGGTGCAACAATGAAAGGTGTCACCAAAAAATGAGAAAATAAATTAAAATTTTTAATCGATGTTTTTCTCGCTGTCCGTTATTGGTGGTTGGTAAAATAAAATAAATGCTACAATAATAAAAAAAGGTAGCAGAAGAACAGCCATACGTAAATGTAAATGTTTGTTCAAGCGGGCTTTCTGTCTCCGGTTCGGATGGCGAGGATGTGAACCGGTGCGGGGATCTGAAATCAGTTTTCCATGCCACGAGGGCAGACGAACCTGGAGTGAGACGAGTGGTGGAAAGGGGAAGTGTGTGCAAAAAGGTGTATTGTGGAGAAGTAAATGTATCATCAGAAATAAATTCCACTCGGGTTGTTTGTTCGGGAAAAAATACGCGAAAAAAAGGAAAATCGGAGCACGACAGCAGCTGAGTAAAACAGGCCCGGTTCCATGCGCTGCTGAAGGAAGTGAAAATATTGTAACGACATAAGTGTGACGCGTGTATTTGGAGTGTTTTACAAGTGTAACAAAATTAAATTGAGGAAAAGTCCTGCGGGAAGAAACGGTTGGTTGTCAATTTGTTGTTCCCGAAAAGTGTGAGCAATCGTTCGCAAGCAATCAAAATTGATGTCAATGTTAGCGTGTTCGCGTGCTGTTTAATGTTTAATCGGGTTCGGCAGACGATCGCTCAGGCTCCACAGTTAGGCAAGCGGCCGCATTAGGTGGTAGTTGTTCTTCTCGGTGTTTTGATCTTTCGGTGAGTGCAAGGAGGCAGAAAAATCTTCCAAAGTGGCCGCGTCGAAGGGATCCCGAGGCGCTTCGTCAGAAGGTCGCCTGAACACCGCAACGACGACCACGACCGAAACCACGACCAGCTTGAGCAACTCCCGCCAGGGCTCCGTCGATGGGGTAATGCAACGATGCGGTCTCTGTTCGATCATCTCCAGCTTGCTGCGGCGTGCCATGTGCGTCGGGTCCCGGCGTGGTAGCGGCGAGTCCTACTACCAGGAACTGGCGGAAACTAATGTGAGTATTTTTCAAACAAATTGTGATGGGGTTGCATAGGAGCAAATTCGCAAATCCAATAATTTTCGTATTTTTTTAATTGGCTGAAAATTTTGCATATCAAAAGAAAATATGAGTCATCAGCACTGGCGTGCACAGGTTGGGGCAAGGTGGGGGCAATTGCCTCCCCTTTTATAAATAAGATTTTTATTTCCACATTGACAAAATTATTATATAAAATAACTTGATTTCTTGATAACTTGATCTGAAGGTGAAATAACTTTATTTCATGAAATCAAGGCAGTGACAACTTTTTATTGCGTCAATTCCTTTGAGATGGTGCATGAAAATTGCACCACAAAGGTGCATGAAAAAGCAAACTCCAATGAAATTTTTTGGTCGAAAAATTGCAAAACAGTGGTGCATACAATAAATTTCTGGTGTTATTTTTTTTAAGGTTTTCCATGGAGGGTTAAAAGAAGAGGGTAAATTTTAGGTTGAAAAAATTCGCCGTCTGATGCAAAATTTTCATCGCTCTGGTTAAATTAATGAACGGAAAATTTCTGGTGGAAAACTTGCACTGGTCTGGTAAATGAAGGCACAAGCTTTATTTTACATTAAGCTTTAATGTAAACTTCTGGTGGAAAGCTTTTTGGAAAATTTTTGATATTAAATTTGTATCTTTCTGCTGAATAGATAAACAAATTAATAATCCACTTTGACTATATGTTTTTAGTATTACTTCTACGTGAAGTCAACGATTTACATAGTTGAAGATGCTAATTTCAAATAACAGACTGTAGTGGTAATTTTTATACGATAGATGGAGTAGATGAAAGCATAGAGTTGATAGTTCCGTTAGAGTACGGCAGTGTGAAGATTGCATATAGATATTAGAATAGTTGCAATTTCCAAACCTACGACTGGATGCCTTCCTTCAAATAACAACTGAAGTGCGGTAAAAAATCGGTAGAACTGTTTCAAACACACCGTTGGTACTTGAGCGGTCGGTTTTTATCTCTTTTTTCCAGTGGTGGGGGGGGGGGATACACCTCTCACCATCCCTCTCCAAAGGGGGAGTTTGGTAAAGAGAGATGAAAAAACCGATTTGTACCTTCCTTAAAAGTTGTCCTAGGTCGCTATTCTAATATCTATATGCAATCTTCACACTGCCGTACTCTAACGGAACTATCAACTCTTTGCTTTCATCTACTCCATCTATCATATAAAAATTAATAATAATTTATGGTGTAAAATTTGCGCCACTCTAATGATTTAAAGGAAGCTGCCTTACTGAAAATTTATGATGGAACATCTGAAAATAGGGGCAAGCTATATTTGTTGGAAAACCTGCAACATTCTGATGATAGAAGAAGCAAGCTTTATTGAAAATGTCTGGTGAAAAATGGAAAAAGGAAATCTGCACCAATCAGAAGATTGGAGAAGCAATTTTTATTGAACTATCACGGTGGAAAATTTGCATACGATCAATTGAAATTTTCTGGTGTAAAATTTTCTGGGGGCAAGTTTGTATCGCAAATTTTTGGTGGAAGATTTGCAACAATCTGCTGCATGGAGTGGCAAGCTGCACAGTTCTGCTGAATGGAGGGGGGGGGGGGGGGATGGCAAGCTTTATTGAACATTTCTGGTATAAAAACAACGACTTTTTGGTGAATGGACGGACAACTTAAACTTGACTTCCGAGAAGAACCTCAAGGGTATTGAATTCTGAGGACAGTTTAAAAAACAAAAAAATATCTGGGGATGATTCCATGAAAATTCTGCGAATAATTTCTGCAGGTAGTTCCAAGATAATTTCGAAAAGAATACCGAGAGAATTAAATTTTGAATGAATTTCCAAAGGAATGTTGAGAAAATTTTCAAGGGAATTCCGAGGATAATTTCAAGCTTTTGTTGTAGGACGAATTTCTGGAGAATGCAGAGGAAATTATTCTGAAACTTTAGGGGAATTCCAGTTCCAAGGTGTTCTGAAAAAAAAGTTCTTAAATATTCCGAGAAGAACCTCAAGGATATTGAATTCTTATGACAGTTCCAAAATATTTCTGGGGAGAATTCAAAGAAAATTCTGCGGATAATTTCTAGTGCATCTTGCAGATACAGGGTGCGTGACGAATTTTTGCAGTAAATTTCAAATAGTAATTTCTCATGCTAGTGCATCATGATTTAGATATATTTGGCAGCACTGGATAGCTTATACTGTTAGGTGTAAGATTTAAACAAACAATGTTGAGTAAACGTAAAGATGTCGAAACAAGAGAGCAATCAGTCAGCCGTTGTCACTTTGTTGCGCGCCGGAGTATGCATGAAAGAAATAATTCAGTCGGTAAATATGTCTGAAAGAACAGTGTATAATATTAAAAAAGGCTTGGAAAAGTGATAAGACGGAGCACCTGCTCATACTGCTAATAAAGCACAGAAATGGCATACGGAAAATATTTCGTAAATTTGGGAGGAAGAAATTTGGCCCCCAAGCAGTCCCGATATCAATCCGTTGGATTATTTTGTATAGGGCGTCGTCCAACGGGATACCAATAGAACCCCTCACACCACACTTAAGTCGCTAAAAGCTAAAATCAAGGCAGTGATGACATCTATGGATCGAAACATTTTAAAACGTGCATACTGCAGTTTCCGGAAGCGTCTAACTACAGTCGTCGAAAGAGAAGGCAATTTTTTTGAATGAATTTACTTACAACTTCCATATGTTGCGAAAGAAAAAAAATCGCACAAAATTCATTGCTAGAATAACTAACTGGTGTATTTTTTCTCAAATATGCCATTTACTGCAAAAATTCGTCACGCACCCTGTAGTTGCAAGATAATTTCGAAAAGAATGCCGAGAAAATCAAATTTGAGTGAAATCCCAAAGAGATTTTAAGTAAAATTTCAAGCGAATTCCGAGGATAATTTCCAGCTCATTCAGTTCGAAGGTATTCTGAAAAAAAAAATCACGAAGAGTTCTAATTATAATTCCAGTGAACTTCTGTGAAGAACCTCAAGGACATTGAATTCAGAGGACAGTTCCAAAGGATTTCTGGGGAGTATTCCAAGAAAATTCTTCGCGTAGTTTTTAGTGAATCCTGTAGATAATTCCGAAAGGAATACCGAGAAATTTAATTTGAGTGAAATCCCAAAGGGATTTTGAGGAAAACTTCAAGGGAGTACTGATAATTTCTAGATCATTCCGGAAATATTTTTTTAGGATATTCTTCTGAAACTTTTGAGGAATTTCAGTTCCAAGGTGTTCTGAGTAAAAGTCAAGAAGAATTCTAAAAATAATTCCAGAGGGCTTCTGAGAAGAATTTCAAAAGAGCTCATAGAGTTCTAAAAAAATTCGAAAAGAACCTCAAGGAATTCTGCAGATGGAATTTTTCGCAATTGTACAAAGTTTAAAGACTTTTGGATTCCCTAATTGAAAAGTGGGTCTTTGTTTGCCATTGAACCTTGGTCTATTGTTGTCTTACTAAAAATTCGTATATGTATCTTCTCTGAAAATTTCAAGTCATTTGTTACCGTGGTTAAAAAGTTACATCTGTTTATGTGCGTTGTACTATACTCAGGTTTGTCCTTTATATCATCTTTAAAACATGTTGAATGTTCGGCATCATTTTCTGTCACCCCGACTGGCGGTACTTCGGGATGGTTCGTCATCGACATCGTCGATGGGATTAAATTGCCAATTTCCATTGGCTGTCTGAAAGCAGTTTGCATTAAAGAAGATGAACCACCACCGGAGCAAAAAATAAATAAAATTAGCTAAATTAAACAATAGGGAAACAGTGGTGGTTGGACAGCACCATCTCCCACGCACTTTGGAGTACTCCCCATTCCCAGATTAAATGCTTCATAGTAAAAAATGTCCCTCCTTAACAAGATTCCTGTGCACGCTAGTGGTCACCAGATTGTTCCGCTTCTGAGCCCAATCGTATAGTAAATATACTGAATTGTTCTTTGCATTTTTGATCGGATGTTCACGTTCTATAGCTACACTAGCTCTGGTAGCCATACGTTTCAGTGTTCCTCCTTTAGCCTCATATGGACCTTTTCCATGCGATGCTGCGAAGAAATGCCATTCAACTTCTATTCCATATTTATTCTTAAAAACCATTATGAGAACATTAACATTTATTATTTGCTTTCGTCAATGCCATTCATACCTTTTTAAAACCGTTTTAAAACAGATTCGTTCATATTGAAAACTAGAAAAAAAAATGCTTTATGATTGAATTCAATAAAATGAAAAGATGATTTTTTTTTATTTTATTCTGATTGCTGCTGAGATTATGAGCATTATGAGATTATGAGCTGATATTGAAATCGTTTTTTAAGTGTTCTATACGCGTAAACTTAACTGCGAATCGCAGATTTCGGGAAAAATATTAGTGGATAGAACCTCAAAAATGATGCGCCGCATAAATGATGTCCGTATATAAGTCTAAAAGAGCTTGGATTGTCATATTTGTTACTCTATTACTCTATTACTTAGTTTAGTATAATCTGTAAGCACAAAGTTGGGCCTCCTTTAACTCAGTCGAAAAACACGCAGATACAAAGCAAGACCATGCTGGACGTGGCTGAGTTCGATTCCCGGTCCGGTCTAGGAATTTTTCGGGTTGGAAGATTTCTCGACTTCCCTTGGCAGAGAGTATGATTGTACTTGCCACCAGGGTTGGAAAGCACCTCAGAGCGTTAGCAAAGCAACTTTCTGTATGTATCTCACAACACTCTTCAAAGAGTGTGTAGTTCTCCCAAATACTTCGTACACTCTTTTCCAACTAATCCGTGAGAAAGCGATCCACACAATGAGCAGTACACTCCGTGCGGCGCAGGGAGCGAATATAATACAACAATCAATACTATTTGCAACCATACACTGAGTGGCGCTCTTTGCGACGGAGCCGTCGGTGCGATGGCTACACATTGAGCTTTCGTTATTTGTGGGTGTGTGTCTGTCTTCTCTTCTCCGCTGCTTTACACTTGTGCAGGATGAAAGTCAAGCA